TAAGATCATCTGAGACGGTTAGTGGCTTTTTCTGGTTGACTGTTCTCCTCGTTCTGATTACCCGCACGACCACTAACCGTTCTCTGCTTCTTAGAACTGTTCCTGCCATTAACCGACACCAGAACCAGAACCCAGACCAGCACCAAGACCAGCTGTCACTTCCTCCCTAGAAACAATAAACACTTATTATTTATCGTCATTCTGTTGTGTTGTGATCTTGGTCCAAACCCTCACGAGAGTTCCTTACAACATCAGCATGTGATCAGATCATCATCAGCTCCCAAGCTGCACTGCACCTTTATGTACATGATGTCAATGGTAAATGGATTGTACTTGGTGCCTCTTTTCTAATCAAGGTATTCAAGTGCTTTACAACACAATCTGCCCTTGTTTACCTTCACACACACATTCATACAGCACTCTACTAGATTTCTACAAAGCTAATTGAACTAATCATTGTATAGAGACTAATCAGAGCTTTATCACATTCATACACCGATGGGACACACATCAGAGACAATGAGGGGTTCAGTGTCTTGCCCAGGGACACTTCAGCATGTGACTTCTGGTGGAATCAAATCCCCAACTCTCCCATTGGAGGACGACTGCTCTAACCACTCAGCCACTGCTGCCACAACCAAACTCATATACTGGGTGTACTTGGTATGCAACTTAGATTTTTATTTTCCTGCAGTTGCCGTGGTGAGTCGAGGTATCAGAGCTCCACTGATGAAGGCTTTTTATTGAAAGTCGAGCATGAGCTCTTCTCAGGATTAAGAAATTGAACTCATTGAAACTCTGGAACTGGAAACAGAGTTGAAGAAAATCTTGTGAGCAACCAAAGATGAAGGCAGAGTACTAATGTTTTTGCCTGCATTTAATTTATTTTTAATTTATTTTTTACTTTATTTTTTTTATACAGGTTAATCCAACATTTTTCAGTCAGGTCATCTGGACAGTTTCTTTTTTTGTGCTGAAATGTTTCGCCTTCGATCCGGAAGGCTTCATCAGTCAAGGAAACACACAACACAAAACTGATTCTTCCCCCAACAGCTTACTCCAAAGTGGAACAAACCAGTTATGTTGGTGCTAAGATGGTCTCTTTGGCACACCCCCTCCTCCATTGCCGGCCCTCTTCCTTGTTAACAGTATACAAGTTTATCTCAATGAGTCACAAGGACTTAAGCCCCCAGTATATTGCCACGTACATCCATACGCAGAGGTACGCACGTACGTACGCAGAGGTACGAGCGTACCCCCCACGGCATGTCCGTGCAAAGCTCAAATTTTTACGACCGCATACGCGTACGCGGTGTCGCACAATAAATTGCCCAGCAACGGACTGTTTTGTATGTGACACCAATGTATTAAATTCCCCTTCTTCATCCCTGATCTGGCCTTTTCTTTTGTTATTTTGCCAAGAGGCAAGTGATCTCTTCCTCCTCCGTTGATGCCATGACTGAAATGGTGAGAAATGGAGGAATTTGTCATGAGCGAATTAAACTCAGGTCCAGCGTGGCTGCGGGAGGGTCTGGAGATTTCCTGGTGGGCTGGTCTGATGTGTGAGCTGTAGAGCCAGCGCTGGTTTTTTTTAAATTTTTTAGATCTTTTTATTAACAACATATAAACACAGAACACCATTGTGGCTGAGGCTACCAGGGCTCGCTTTTTTTTCTTTTTTCCAACCTGTCAATCAATCCAGTAGGCGTGTCAGCAAATGACCAATCGGAGACCTCAATTTGTCCCGAAGGTAAACGCCCCTCGTCTGTGAAGCTGCTCTGCAGCTGCTCGGGGTGGACGCTGGAGTATGAAGTCTGAACCCTCTGCGTACAGTACACTCGTACGTACGCGTGAACGGACGTACGCGGCAGTATACTGGAGCCTTTATTTACAAGAGACCTGGTTCAGCCAGACAACAAAGTACAGAGTGTGTATGTGTGTGTGCGTGCGTGCGTATACAGTTTTTAAAAAATCGTATTAAGCACAGAGCAGATTTTCATAAAACTCTCAAAAAGTAGTTGAATGTACCTTTACATCCAAGACCACAGTCAGCAGACCATGACTATGGTTATAACTCAGCCAGTTTTACATCTTTTGAGCTCACATTTGACGTGGTAGCAGCTGACAGTCATTCACAAAAATCAGAGTGCTAACAGATAATATTATATTGAACTAAAAATGCAAAAGATTGTACAAATTTTTTACAAGGTTTGACCAAAACGGGTACGACTTATTTCTCGAAATAAACGGATAATAATGCAGTCTAAAACCATGGCATGAAAGCCAACAGGTGATATTCCTTCAATGAAAACTTAGCCTTTAATTGTCAAGTGTTGTATTTAAAAGTACATTTTAAACACTTTGAAACGTACTAAGCTGCAACTTGAAATTCAAAACATGCACAGCAAACATAAGGTTAAATGTAGGCTTCCTGTTACAACCACAGTCACCATATGTTGTGAAAATATTTCTCACAATTATTCCAGTCAGTTGCAGCTGAAACCAGTGCTGTGTAACGTTCACACTACACTGCATGAACACAAAGGAAAATTGTCAAAGTGCAATTTTAACTCGGCATCTCTGAAAAATTAAGAGACTATCATTAGGATATTGTAAGGAAATAGTTCTCAAACCTTAGATTCACCAAAATATTGAATAAATGTTGAATAAACATGGAATAAATGACAACAGTCTCAAATGGGCCAGTAAAATCGCTTTTTTTTTTTTTTGCACAAGTCACGCCACCTGTCAATCCAGAAGGCACGTCAGCAACTGACCAGTCAGCGACCTCAATTTGTCCTGAAGTGAACGTCCCTTACCTGTAGAGTTGCAGCGGTGTTACATTAAGAACGCTTTGCAGTCAGAGCTTTCAATAATAACAGTTTAAATCTTTTGTTTCATGTTAATCTACTGTAATAAATCTTTGTTAAATATACCAAAATGCAGGAAATGGCATCTACTTTACTCAAAATTCTCTGGGGGAGGATCCCCAGACCCCCCACCATCACCAACGCAGCCTGTAATGTTTTTTTATACAGAATGGAATAATAAATAACTATAATAAATAAATGGACTTTACTTAAATAATTATTTGCATTTCATGTATTATATTATTGCATTTGGCCCGCAACCCTCTGATAGATTTTAAATTTGGCCCTTTCAGAGAAAAAGTTTGGGCACCCCTGAATTGGACATTTTCTCACCCTCAAATATGCCATTGAATATTTAGTCGAATACCTCACTGCCATCTCCTCCTTGAATCGCCACCTTATCGTGGTGGAGGAGTTTGTGTGCCTGAATGATCCTAGGAGGTATGCTGTCTGGGGCAATTTAAACTGCCCTTGGTAGGGTCTCACAAGGCAGATTGGTTCTAGGTGACAGGCCAGACAAACAGCGATTCCAAAGACTCTTATGGACATGAAACAGAAAGGAACTCCGTGCCCCTTGCCTGGATGTGGGTTACCAGCACCCCACTCTGGAGCTAGGCCTGGGGGAGAGGCTCGTCATCGAGCACCTGGTGACCGGGTCTCTACCCATGGGGCCCGGTCGGGCTCAGCCCAGATGAGCAACATGGGGTTGCCTTCCTTTGGGCCCACCAGCTACAGGAAAGACCATATGAGTCAGGTGCATGAATCCATGGGCAGTGGCCGAAGGTGGGGACCTTGGCACTCTGACCGTGGATTACCAAAACTGGCTCTTGGGACATGGAACATGACCTCTCTGGTGGGGAAGGAGCCTGAGCTTGTGTGTGAGGTTGAGAGGTACCAACTAGATACAGTTGGGCTCACCTCAACGCACAGCATGGGCTCTGGAACCGATCTCCCTAAGAGGGGCTGGACCTTATTCCACTCTGAAGTTGTCCGTGGTGAGAGGCGCCGAGCTGCTGTGGGTATACTCTTAGCCCCCCGACTTGGTGCCTGTGTGCTGGAGTTTTCCCTGGTACATGAGGGTAGCTTCCCTGTGCCTTTGGATGGGGGGGACAGACTCAGACTGTTGTTTGTGTTTATGAACCAAATGGCAGTTCAGAGTATCAGACCTTCTTGGAGTCCTTGGGGGACTGGAAGGTGCACCAACTGGGGACTCCTTTATTGTGCTGGGGGGACTTCTATGCCCACATGGGTAATGACAGTCTGAACTGGAGGGGCTTGATTGGGAAGAACGGCCTGTCTGATCTGAACAAGAGCTGTGTTGTGTTGTTGGACTTCTGTGCTAATCATAGTTTGTCCATCACGAACACCATGTTCGAACATAAGGGTGTCCGTAAGTGCACTTAGCACCATGATGTACTAGGTCGTAGATCGATGAATGACATTGTAGTCGTGTCATCTGATTTGCAGCCGTTTGTTTTGGACACTCGGGTGAAGAAAGGAGCGGAGCTTTTAACTGATCAACACCTGGTAGTTAGTTGGATCAGATGAAGGGGGATGATGCTGGACAGACCTGGAAGACCCAAACATGTAGTGAGGGTTTGCTGGGAATGCCTGGCAGAAGAACCCATTAAAAAGATCTTCAACTCACACCTCCGGGAGAGCTTTAACCGCATCCCAGCTGAGGCGGGGAACGTTGAGTCCAAGTGGGCCATGTTCTGCGACTCAATTGTTGAAGTGGCTGCCTTGAGCTGTGGCCGCAAGGTTCTCAATGCTTCTTGTGGTGGCCATCTTCTAACTCGGTGGTGAACACCCTGGGTTAGGGAAGCTGTCAAGCTGAAGAAGGAGTCCTATCGGTCCTTGTTGGGTATTGGGACTCCGGAGGCAACTGAGGAGTACCAGAGGGCCAAGCAGTCTGCAGCCTTGACTGAAGCTGAGGCTAAAGCTCGAATTTGGGAGGAGTTTGGCGGCTGTGGCTGAGTGGTTGGAGCAGTTGTCCTCCAATGCAAGAGTTGGGGGTTTGAATCCATCAGCAGTCACATGCCGAAGTGTCCCTGGGCAAGACACTGAACCCCTCACTGCCTCTGATGTGTGTCCCATCGGTGTATGAATGTGATAAAACATTGATTAGTCTCTTTAGAATGATTTGTTCAATTAGATTTGTAGAGATATAAAAGAGTGCTGTATGAATGGGTAAATAAGGACACAGATTGTAGTGTAAAGCGCCTTGAGTATCTCAATAAGATAGAAAGGCGCTATACAAGTACAGCCTATTTACCATTTACCCTGCATAACGACTCTTGGTCATCTCCAAGGAAAACCATCAGGTGGCTGAGGAAGAGAAAACGATGCTTTACTAACACTGTATTCAGTGAAAGTGGAGTGCTGCTGACCTCAACCAGTGATGTCATTGGGAGGTGGCAGGAATAATTCTCAGACCTTCTCAATCCCACTGGCATGTTTTCCATGGAGGAAGCAGAGTCAGGGAACTTTGGGACTGGTTTGTCCATGACCGTGGCTGAGGTCACCGAGGTAGTTAAAACGCTCCACAGTGGCAGGGCTCCAGGGGTGGATGAAATGTGCCCTGGTTTCCTTAAGGTTCTGGATGTTATGGGACTGTCTTGGTTGACACGCCTTTGCAACATCGTGTGGACATCTGAGGCAGTGCCACTGGAATGGAAGACTGGGGTAGTGGTTCCCCACTTAAAAAAGGGGGACCGGAGGGTGTGTTCCAATTACAGGGGCATTACTGTCCTTAGCCTCCCTGGTAAGGCCTATTCAGGGGTACTGGAGAAGCGAGTCCGATCATTGTCGAACCTCAGATCCAGGAGGAAAAATGCGGGTTCCGTCCTGGCTGTGGAACACTGGACCAGCTCTTTACCCTCACTAGGGTCCTCAAGGGGTCATGGGAGTTTGCCCATCCAGTCTACATGGGTTTTGTGGACTTACAGAAGGCATCCGACCGTGTTCCTAGGGGTACACTGCGCAGGGTGCTTAGTGAGTATGGGATTGGGGGCCCATTGTTACGGGTTGTTCGGTCCTGATACAAACGGTGCAAAAGTTTGGTTTGCATTGCCAGCAGTAAGTCAGACCCCTTCAGGGTGGGAATTGGACTCCGCCAGGGCTGCCCATTGTCACCGATTCTGTTCATAACTTTTATGGACATAAATTCTTGGTGCAGCCAGGGGACGGAGAGATTCTGGTTCGGTGGTCTCAGGATTCCATCTCTGCCCTTTGCAGATGATGTGGACCTGTTGGCATCATCGTGCCGTGATCTTCAGCTCTCAATGGTGCGGTTCACAGCAGAGTGTGAAGTGGCTGGGATAACAATCAGCACCTCCAAATCTGAGGCCATGGTCCTCAACCGGAAAAGGGTGGATTGTTCTCTTTAGATTGAGGGTGAGGATCTGCCTCAAGTGGAGGAGTTCAAGTATCTTGGGGTTATGTTCACACATGAGGGAAGAATGGAGCGTGAGATTGGTAGATGGATTGGTGCAGCGTCGACAGCAGGGGTGTCAAATTCCAGGCCACGAGGGCCAGAGGCCAGCAACTTTTAGATGTGTCTCTGATGCCACACAGCTGAATCATATGACTGAATTAGCTTCTCAATGAAGTCAAGTTCTCAAAAGTCCTGCTAATGACCTTATTTGGTTCAGCTGTGTGGCATCAGACACATCTAAAAGTTGCAGGCCTCCGGCCCTCAAGGCCTGGAGTTTGACACCTGTGGTCTACAGTATTGCGGACTCTGTACCGGTCTGTTGTGGTGAAGAGGGAGCTGAGCTGTAAGGCAAAGTTCTCCATTTACCCGTCAGTCTATGTTCCTACCCTCACCTATGGTCACGAGCTCTGGTTAGTGACCGAAAGAATGAGATCGCAGATACAGGCGGTTGAAATGAGTTTCCTCTGCAGGGTAGCTGGACTCTCCCTTAGAGATAGTGTGAGAAGTTCAGTTATCCGGGAGAGACTCCGAGTAGAACCGCTGCTCTTCCACATCGAGAGGAGCCAGTTAAGGTAGTTCGGACATCTGGATAGGATGTCTCCTGAACGCCTCCCTAGGGAGGTGCTTTGGGCATATCCAACTGGGAGGAGACCCTGGGGAAGACCCAGGACACGCTGGAGAGACCATGTCTCTCTGTCTCTCGGTTGGCCTGGGAATGCCTTGGGGTCCCCCCAGAAGAGCTAGAACAAGTGGCTGTGGAAAGAGATGTCTGGGCCTCCCTGCTCAAGCTACTGCCCCCGTGACCCAACTTCGGAACAAGTGGAAGACTTTCTTTCTTTTTTTTAACCTTTATTTAACCAGGCAAATTCCATTGAGATCACATATCTATTTTGGAAGGGAGGCCTGGCCCTGAAGGCAGACTGTGGATGGATGGATGAACCTCACTGCCATCTCTCCAAGACATCTCCAAACCTCCACTGTTATGTCATCAGGTCCTAATGATCAGGTCCTAATGCTTTCCCCTTCTTCATTCTTTTCAGAGCTTTCCGGACTTCACCCTCACTAATCTTTCCCACTTCCTGATCCACAGTTTGTAAGATGTTGTAGGGACACATCAAGGTTTTTCTACCATCAACTTTTATTCTTTTGATACTTTGAAAGTAAGACTGACTCTCATTCACAAAGCTGGACAGAAAAAAAACGTTAAAAAAAACGAATAACAAAAATCTGTTATTGTAATTAATTGCACACCTGTTATTATGATTTCAGCAAAGCTGAAAGGCCCTTTGTATGAGAACCTTTCCATCCGACCTTTGAAATATAACATCTGAAGCATTATGCACATCTCTTCCTAAAAGGGAGGATTCGTCCTGCAGTCTTAGAGTGTGGTAAATAACCCCATTGTTCTTCAAGGACTCTTACCATCCCATGGTAGAAATCATTTTTCTGAACAATTTAAATTTCTGAGTTCTCCTGAACACAATTGAATGTTTTGCTGTAAAACTGCTATGAAATAACTTGTTTACTTCCTTTCCCAGTTCAATACTTAGTTTAATCATGCATAAGAGAAAGTAGATGTAAAACTGGTAATCAGAGGTTTCAACTGTGTTTGCATAAGTTCTAATGAAAATGTTTATGGATGAGTAAAAACTGCTTAGAAGTTTTGATTATCCTGCTGTATATTGAGTATTTACCAAAGCAGAGTAAATTAGTCATTTATTTTTTAAATAATGTTATTAAAGTTCAAATGAAACAGTAACCTGAAACAAAGGTCCACCCTTTCTGTTTTAATTGGGTCGACCATCAATATTGTAACGCCCTCTAAGTCAGGAGAAAGTTATTCTGACGTTTAGTTTAGAGCAGTCTTGGGGAAGCTTTTGAAGAAGAAAGGTCAAGCAATCGGAAATTTATGCCAGAAGATAAGAAGTTCATGCAGAAAAGAGACGAGTGTTCCAGAGATTTGTCTCTTGTTTCAACGAAGCATCAAAAGGTTTCTTGTCACCAGAAGAAGAAAACGCAGCACTCCGGGAGCCCATCAACTGACCCCATCGGGAACCAGATAACTATTGACTCCAGATTTCAGCTGATGTCCAGTGCTGAGGGATATCCCACATTCGGCTCTTAACTCATCTCAAGAGATTCCCTGGTAACCCTCGGGCGGTTGAACTAGAACTTCAAATCGGTAGGAAAAGCTGCTCCTTCTCTCTGCTGGTGTCTGATGCCCAAGATAAGAAGTTGTCCAGTCAAACAAAATTCATC